GGGAGGGGGCGGCCCAGGCAAGGGTCGCTTCCTGGTGCGTATCTGTTTCCAGGGAGACGAGGGCGCCTGCCCGACCCGGGACTTTGTGGTGGGCGCGCTCATCCTGCGCTCCATCGGCATGGACCCGAGCGACATCTTCGCGGTCATCCAGATCCCGGGCAGTCGCGAGTTCGACGTGAGCTTCCGCTCGGCCGAGAAGCTGGCCCTGTTCCTCCGCGTGTACGAGGAGAAGCGCGAACAGGAGGACTGCTGGGAGAACTTTGTGGTGCTGGGGCGGAGCAAGTCTAGCTTGAAGACGCTCTTCATCCTCTTCCGGAACGAGACGGTGGACGTGGAGGACATCGTGACCTGGCTCAAGCGCCACTGCGACGTGCTGGCCGTGCCCGTGAAAGTGACCGATAGGTTTGGGATCTGGACCGGGGAGTACAAGTGCGAGATCGAGTTGCGCCAGGGGGAGGGCGGGGTCCGGCACCTGCCCGGGGCCTTCTTCCTGGGGGCTGAGCGGGGCTACAGCTGGTACAAGGGGCAGCCCAAGACGTGCTTTAAGTGTGGTTCCCGGACCCACATGAGCGGCAGCTGCACGCAGGACAGGTGCTTCAGGTGCGGGGAGGAGGGGCACCTGAGCCCTTACTGTCGCAAGGGCATCGTGTGCAACCTCTGTGGCAAGCGAGGACACGCCTTTGCCCAGTGTCCCAAAGCAGTTCACAATTCCGTGGCAGCTCAGCTAACCGGCGTGGCGGGGCACTGAGCTCCCGCCTGCCTGCCCGCGTGAACACACAGCCAGCTTACTCCCTCTTAAGTGCCAAAACTTGTTTTCGAACCAATTTTTATCGTTTTTGAAGGAGATCTTTTCAGAATCTACCAGAGACCTCTCTATGCCTTCTTAAAGCGAGTTTACTCCATTTTGGTCTGTTGAGTTGGTGACTCGCATCAGCGACAACTACCGAGATTTGTAGCGTGCACAGGTGTCGCCCCTCCTTTTTGGAGTTTGATTTTCGTTTTGTATTGGGGGTTTTCTTTTTTGTATTTTTTCTTGTATTTTTTAATCCCCTCTGCCCACACCTTGCCTTCTCCCCGGGTCCCCCACCCCTTGGGCTGCCTTGCTCATCCTGGTGCCCCAGCACTGGGTCCGGGCCCAGCCCGTGGTAGGTGCTCCATCAGTGTTTGTTGAACTGAAAACATTGTTGGCTTCTGTCAGCGCCTGCCTTCTGCAGCTCTTCCCCTCTCCCACTTCATTTGCTGCTTCTGATCTGTGTGGTCTGAGAATCTGTGAAACCAGTGTTGTTAGAAGTGTATGTTACCTGAACCGATAAGCTCTGCATGGTGGCCAGGGCCTCTCTAACGGCAGAAAAATGCGTGGACTTGAGACAGCTTTGTCGTGGCTCAGAAGCCATTTTCATAGAATCATGGAATCTAGAGTCTTCTTGCTGGAAAGGACCTGGGAGTTGATTGAGACCAGTCCCCTGGGTTCCAGCCGCTGGAAGCGGCCCAGAGAAGTTAATGACTGGGTCAAAGTCACACAGCTGTCCAGCGCTAGAGCTAGCCTACAGTAGAGCTCCCTGACCCCAAGCCCGGTGCTCATTCCACTACCTCTCACACTTCACAACAATTTCCTCAACACTTGAGGGCCCAGGAAGTCTGATCTCTCCAGGGCGTGAGCCCAGAGGAGTGCGAGCAGCCAGGAGGTTGGCAGGGCTTCTGAATACCTGGGAGACGGCAGGACCAAGGAGCAAACCCCAGGGTGCGCTGCCTGCCTCCTGTGTGTGCCACATCTGAATTCCAGGGTGCAGGGCCCTGTGGAGGCCGCCGCCTCCCGCGTTGCCACCGGTGAGAAATGCGGTGCCCCCGGGTGTAGACACCTACCACCTACCTACCAAAGGCTCACGGGTGCACCTCGGGCTCCGCAGCTATGAAACCGGAGGGAAGCCGCTGGCTGCCGCTCGCCGGCCACCTCCTGCCCTCCAGAGAAAGGCGGTTTCACCCGGAATCATGAGTGGGCCGTGAACACTAAAATGTTCTTGGGAAATAGGCCAGGCCAGAGGTCAGGCCAGGTCAACTGTGTGTTATCAAGTTCAAATAGAAAAGACAGTACACTGCTTTTCTCTTAATTTTGTCTATCCTTTGCTACATGTTTTGCTATTTCCTTGTGGCTTAGAATGTAAAATCGATCGTTGACGGTTTTGTTCTGAGTAAATATTTATCTTTTGTAATGCTGACACTCGTGGGCTCCTTCCTTTCAGAGCGGGAGGTGCAGCCACATCGACACGGTGCGTCTGCTTCCCTGCACACAAACGCGTCCCACCCCTGCAGGCAGCACTGGCACCCGCTGCCCGTGCCAGGCCCTCAGCCCTGCGGCGCGGGCACACGGGCACGACGCGGCGTTAGGGAATCAGGATGGCGGGGCCGAGGCGGGTAGCCGGGCCGGCTTCGGGGAGGGGGAGGTTAGAAACCGCTGAGAGCCTCAGGCATTGTCGGGGCCCTAAATGGGAGCAAGTCATTCTTGAGTCTAGGAAACCTCTTGGAGCTGTAGGGGACGAAGAGGGGGTTTCAGGAACCTTCCTGAGAGCGGACTAACAAGGTAGCTCCACACTCACCCCTACCCCAGGATTGGCCCTGCTGTGTCCCGCAGGCCGCAGACACACACACACACACACACACACACACACACACGCCTTGCCCGCTCTGAGGAATTAAAATGGTCTGGAAGCTCCCAGGGACGGGTTCTCCACGAGACAGGCTATTTCTAGAGCTATCTGGAGAACCCTGCCCCCAGAGCAGCCGGACGCCCCCCCACCCCCCACCGCTGCCCGCGCCCTCCCCATTCCCGCCTTTCCTCTGCAGGCAGCGGCCGGCCCTCCCGCGGGGCCTCGGGAACGCCGTCCACCCCGCCCCCCCTCCTGGCTCTGGCTGGCGCTGTGCCAGGGAGCCTCCGCGGGGGAGCGGGGGAGCCGAGGCTCTCCTGGAGCGAGCGCGGGCGGAAACTGCTTCCCTGCCCATCCCCCCCACCACCACCCGAGTCTGCCCGGGACGAGCCGCCCCAGCTTCCTCTCCGACCCAGCTCCCAGATCACAATGGCTCCCTGTCGCAGAGCCCTGGGGAGGACGAGGCTGGCCCAGGAGCCCTCGTGCATGCCCGCGACCTCGGCTAGCATTTGCAAGCGCCATTAGAGCGAGGCGCAGCGCAGCCGCCACCACCAACACGATGCACTTTTTAAACATACTTATTTGAGGCAGTGTTAGTGAGATCTCCCATCCCTTGGGTCACTCCCCAGTAACCGCAAGGGCCCGGGCTGGGTCAGGCGAAAAGTCTAGCCGTGTAGAATTGTCTGAAATGAACCTGGAACATGACTTGGCTGAACCGCGCCAAATGTCTAAGCGCCACGAGAGGCTGCAGATGTAGGGGGTGGAGGAGGGTGGAGCGCAGCGGGTCTGAGGAAGACAGGGTCCAGGAGAAGGCCGGGAGGTGACACAGGGCTTACCTGCCGTGTATTTACGAATATTGGGGCTGGCATTCAGCTTGGCTGACCGGGCTAATGCAGAAGATGGCCCAATGGCTTGGTTCCCTGCCACCCACGTGGGAGACCGGGATGGAGTTCCTGGCTCCTCCCTCAGCCCCTGAACAACCCCAGCCGTTAAGGGCCTTGGAGGAGTGAACTGGTGGGTGGAAGATATGTATTTGTATAAACTGTAAAATTAAGTTCCAGGGCTCAAATTCTAGCGTCACACGAACATATAATTACAGATTGTGATAATCATTTTAAGAAGCTGCTGCAGGGTGGGACCCCTGTTTAACATCTGATCATGGGGTCAGGGAGAACTCGGAAAACGTTTGAACTGAGATCAGAAGAATCTGTAAGGAGCTAACAGAGAGGGGGTAGGGAAAAGTATTAACCTAGGCAAAGAAAGCAAGGACAATGGGCCGAGTGGCACGAGGCCTGGCCAGCTCCAGGAGCTAAATGAAGTCCAGCGTCTGGGTCTGGGTTAGGAAACAGAATTCACTCCAGTGAAAACAGCGACAGCCCCTAGGCTGGGTACCAGGAATGACTGCTAAGACACGTGACCTGACCTCCCGGGGCGCTGCCGCCTCCGGATCAGATACTGAAGACCTGGACAGGATGCTGGGACCCAAAAGACGCTGCCCATGCCACTGCCAGGACAGAGGCTTGCTTTCCAGAGACTGCGCTGTCTCCACGCCTCGCTCACCAGGACAAACAGCCAAAACTGCTCACCTAGGCCACCCTCCACCTTCTAAACTGCGTGCAAACACATGTCCTTACCGGGGCGCTCACTACAGGGGAATTAAAGAGTTTTAGCTTTCCAACATGGGAGGCACGCAGAGTGGACACGGCTGCTGTCTGCTAATGGACCATATCCACCCCAGCCAGTGTGACTGGTGCAGCGGGGCACGGGCGACGCTCCAAGGCCAGAGGTCTTGGAAGGTCTGGTGGGCCGTGAAGAATTGGGAGTGGGCCTTTGGCATACTGGTTAAGGTGCCCAGATCTCGCATAGAGGGCCTGGGTTTCTGTTCTGGTTCTGCTTCTGATCCCAGCTTCCTGGTGGAGGGCATCTTGAAGCAGCAGGTGATGGCCCCTGTGATTGAGTCCCTGCCACCGCAGGGGGTGGGAGACTCAGATGACCTGGATGGTGTTCCCAGCTCAGCCTGGCCAGGCCCCAGCCAGTGTCTGCACTTTGGGAGTGAACCAGCAGATGGGATCTCTCTCTGCCTCCCAAATAATTTTTTGAAAGCTTTTTATGAAAGAATGAATGTGGGTGGAGCCGGCGCTGTGGCGTAGCAGGTAAAGCCGCTGCCTGCAGTGCCATCATCCCACATGAACGCCAGTTCGAGTCCCAGCTGCCCAGATCCACTCAGCTCTAGCCGTTTAGGCCATCTGGGGAGTGACCCAGCGGATAGAAGGTCGATCTCTCTCACTCTGTGCCTCTGTCTCTCTGTAGCTCTGTCTTTCAAATAAATAAATACATCTTAAAAAAAAATGAATGTGGGTGCTCGCTTCAGCAGCACATACACTAAAATCAGAAAGATACAGAGAAGGTTAGCATGGCCCTTGTGCAAGCATAACACAGATTCGTGAAGTGTTCCATATTTTTTGGAATAGTGGCCTGTCTACTTTTTGCTTGTTGAACAGTATGGCTAGTGGTACATTAAGCCTGTGATTATAAAGTAAATTGAAATTATGCTATTGAAAAAATTGAAAGAGGGCAGATTGGGAGGGAAGAGGGAAGGTTGTGGGTTTTTTTGGTTTTTTTTTTTTTTTTTTTTTTTTTTTTTTTTAGCTTTTTAAAAGATTTATTTATTTGAGAGGTAGAGTTAGAGAGAGAGAGAGAGCGCTTCTATCCACTGGTTCACTCCCCAGATGGCTGCAACAGCCAGAGCTGGGCCAATCTGAAGCCAGGAGCCAGGAACTTTTTCTGGGTCTCCCACGAAGGTGCAGGGGTCCAAGCACTTGGGCATCTGCTGCTGCTTTCCCAAGCCATAAGCAGAGAGCTGAATTGAAAAAGGAGCAGCCGGGACACAAATCATCACCCATACAGGATGGTGGCACTGCAGGCGGAGGCTTAGCCTACTACGTCAAAACACCAGCCCTAGAAATATAGTTATCTTAGAACTATCTAGGGGCCAGCGCTGTGATATAGCTGGTGAAACCACCGTCTGCAATGCCAGCATCCCCTATGGGAGCCGGTTCAAGTCCCAGCTGCTCCACTTCCGATCCAGCTCTCTGCTGTGGCCTGGGAAAGCAGTAGAAGATGGCCCAAGTGCTTGGGCCCCTGCACCCATGTGGGAGACCCAGAGGAAGCTCCTGGCTCCTGGCTTCAGATTGGTGCAGCTCCTGCAGTTGCGGCCATCTGGGAAGTGAACCAGCAGATGGAAGACCTCTTTCTCTCTCTGCCTCTGCCTCTGCCTCTCTGTAACTCTGCCTTTCAAATAAATAAATCTTGAAAAAAAGAATGAAGCAGTGGAATAGAAAATACAAGCACTTGGGCCATCTTCTGCTGCTTTCCCAGGCCACCACAGAGAGCTGGATCAGGAGTGGAGCAGCAGGAACTCGAACCAGCGCCCATATGGGATGCCAGCACTGCTAGGCGACGGCTTTACCTGCTACACCATAGCGCTGGTGCCGCGACTTCACTTTTTCTTTTGAGTGTTATTGATTTATTTATTCATTTATTACCAAGACTGAGTTACTCTCACAGAAGAGACGCAGATAGAGGTCGTCCATGGATCGCTCAATCTCCCAAGTGGCTGCAACTGGTGCCTATCTCCGAAGCCAAGGCCTAGAGTCCTTAAACTT